GGGGGGGTAACCAATGGAGTGAAAGAGGCTTGGCTAACCTTAGCCTCCCATTTTCTCTCCCCCCAATTCAGGGCTCTGACCAGTCAGTCGCCTTTGATTATCAGTTGCCAGCAGCCCTTCTCTTGGCTCCTTGACACGAGCTCCATATAAGGCAGCGATCTCCATAGAAACGTGTCAGTTTCAATAGTAGTGTCAAAGTTCACTATATACAGACATTCGCGCAGATCCCCCTTTCGGAAACATTGCTCTGCTAGGCTTCCCGTTTAAACGCATTCATTTTTTGGGTCTCTCTCTCTCTCTCTCTCTCTCCCCGTCTCTCCCCCCCTCCCCTTTCTTGCATATTCTATTAGTTTTTTGCCCCCCCTTCATCTCCCTCTTCTCCTTCCTTTTCTTCTTTTTTCCACCCTTCCTCCTTGTGTCTTTCGCTTCATTTCTGCAAGAGAAGAGAAGAAGAGAGAGGTGAAACTGAAAAAAAAAAAACCCCAACAACCAAAAAACAAAACAAAACAAAAAAACCTCGGAAAGAAAGAAAAAAGGGGGAAAAACAGAGAGGGAGAATTGCGGGGGAGGGGGGAAAGTCCGGAGAGAGAAAGAGAGAACGCGTTCACATCTTAATACCGTTACTATTTTGACCATTCTTGCCTAATTTTTTTTTATTTTGGAGGAGGGCTTCTCTTCTGGCTGACGAGTTTTTACCCGAAATACTTTTTTTAGGGAAACAAACAAACAAACAAACAAAAAAGAATCTTTTTGAGGGCACTTTCCACCGATTTTCTTTTTTTTTTCTTCGCAACCGGCATCGTGCGCTCTCACTGGAGAAGAAGAAGGAAAGGGCAAGAAAGAGGAAGAGAAGAGGATTTATTTATCCGACCTACTTTGGATCTCTCTTTTTCCTGCAAGTGTCATTATTATTCCCGTTCTCTATTTTTACACTTCGCCGTGAATTCGTCTCCTCTGCGAATTTAGTCACATCCGATTTTTTCTGCGATTTTTTTCTTTTTTTTAAAAAAAAAAAAAAAAAAAAAAAAAACAAAAAAAAAAAACCGAGAGAGAGCGCGAGCGAGCGAGCGAGACAGAGAGCGAGAGAGAGCAGCTCGGGAGAGAAAGAGCAGCGACCGGCAACCTCCTCCTTCTCCTCCTCCGCCGCCGCCGCCGCGACAGGAGATCAAACTGCCTCAGCACCCCGCCAGCCTCTGCCGCGCTCCCCAGCTCCGCCGCCCTGAATGGCTGACGGCGCCCTGCCCTGGACCTGGCCCCCGGACACCTCCATGCTCTGATCGCCGGCGGACGGCTCCTCTCTCCACCTCCCTCCTCCCCGAAAGCCCGCACCGGCACCGGCGGCAGCGGCGGCGGGAGCAGCCTCCGCGGGAGCGGCGGCGGCCGGGCCCCGGCGGCGGCGAGCGGCGAGCGGCGACCTCCTCCTTCTCTTCCTTCCCCTCCTCCTCCTCCACCTCCTCCTCCTTCTCCTCCTCCTCCTCCTCAGCGGCGCCGCGGCTTCCTCTATGCCTGCACATCCTCCGCGCTCGTAGCGCCCGGACCGCGTGTATCTGTGCCCGTGCCCGTGCGTGTGTGCGAGTGCGCGAGTGGGGAGCCGTGTGCCGGGCGTGTGCGCGCGTGTCTGCCTGCGTGTGCGTGTCCGGCGTGTTACTCTCCTGAATGCCTCTCCCGACAGCCTTGTTTGCCGTTTCTGATTTTGCAACTTGAAGTGGCGGCGGGGGGGGGGGGGGGGGGGAGAGGGGGGGGGAGAGCCGGGGGGGGGGGGGGGAGGGGGGGGGGGCGGCCGGGCGGGGGTATTTTAAGGGGGGGGGGGAGCACAGGAAAGGGCAGGGAAGGAAAGGGAAGGAAAGGGAAGGGTGGAAAAGGAAAGGGAAGGGGGGGAAAAGAGAGAGGGAGAAAATCCTCCGTCGCCCCCTCCCCCTCCCTAGAAAAAAAAAATAGCTAGACCGCGAGCGAGAGGAGGGGGGCTCGCGGCGGCGAAAAATAAATAAAATAAAGAAAACGGCAGGAGCGGCTCCAGCCGGCAGCAGCGGCGGCGGCAGCAGGGCAGCGGCGGCGGCGGCGGCAGCCGAGGCGGAGGCAGGCGGCAGGCAGGGTCCCCTCGCTCTCCGCTCGCCCCCGGCGCCCGGCCGGCCGCCTCCCCCCCGCCCCCCGCCTCTCTCCCCGGCAGCCCGCAGCGAGACGCGCCGCTCCCCAGCACTTTTTTGGGCCCGAGATATGGCAATGGTAGTTAGCAGCTGGCGAGATCCGCAGGAAGACGTTGCCGGGGGCACTCCGAGTGGCCCCAACCCCGCCGCGGCGCAGCCGGCCCGGGAGCAGCAGCCCCAGCAGCAGGGGGGCTCGGCAGCCCCACACACCCCGCAGACCCCCAGCCAGCCGGGACCCCCATCCACGCCGGGCACGGCCGGGGACAAGGGAGCGGGCCAGCAGGGCTCGGGGCAGAGCCAGCAGCACATCGAGTGTGTGGTGTGCGGGGACAAGTCCAGCGGCAAGCACTACGGCCAGTTCACCTGCGAGGGCTGCAAAAGTTTCTTCAAGAGGAGCGTCCGCAGGAACTTAACTTACACATGCCGCGCCAACAGGAACTGTCCCATCGACCAGCACCACCGCAACCAGTGCCAGTACTGCCGCCTCAAGAAGTGCCTCAAAGTGGGCATGAGGCGGGAAGGTGAATATTTCTTCCCTACTATGCTATCGCTCCCCTCTCCCCGCGGCTGTGCAGGCGTGCGTGTGCGAGGGCTCTCCGTCTGTCTGTGTCTGCCTGTCCGTACGTGCACACACACTCACTTATATGCACATACATATATATATAAATATATATATATATACGCGCTCACACGCGCGGAGTGCAAACGCACACACATATGAATATATATATACATGTATACATATATATATATACACATATATATGTATGTGTGTGTGTATATATATTTACAGCTCTTCGTGGTGATCTAGATCTCTCTCTATATTTCCATGCACACGTCAATCTCTCCCTCTGCCTGCACTCCATCTGGCAGCTTTGCGCCAGGTTCTGTTGTTATTGTCGATGGTGGTTGGTGGTGTTTTCTTTTGCTTTTCGGTTTGTGCCTCCTGCCCTCCCTCCCGCTACTCCCCACCCCCTTCCTCGGCACTGCCGCACTCGCCCTTTCCCCGCTCATTGTGCAGAGAATTTATTATTATTATTATTATTATTATTATTATTATTATTATTATTATTACGATCGCTTGATAACATTTGTCATTTAGCCGCTATCCCCGCTTCCCCCTGCGCGCGCGTGTATGCATGTGTGCGTGTGCGTGTGTTTTGGATGTGGTTTTGTCTATTGTTGGCATGAAACCGGAGGGTGGGGGGAAATACATCTTTCTTCGGTGCGAGATGTGATTCCATTCAGCTTCCTTCCCCCCAACCCTCCCCACCCCTTTTCCACCCCATCATTTCTTTTTAAACCCACAACACTTCTCAGTAGATCCATTTCTCAGGCTCATTTTTCCCGAAAGAAAGATGAAAGGCGTGTAAGTAGAGAGAGAGGAAAAGGGGTGAAGAAGATGGAAGGAAAAAAAAAAAGAGGAAATATGCTACTGTATCTCCTCTTTCCTGTGCTTTCCGGTGCCCCGGAGTGTGATTCTGTGAGAGATCTGGCCTTGTTTTCATTCCATGCGTTCAAAGCAAAGTTTGTGACTGAACTGTGTTTCTGTACTTCTGTCGTTTCTTTCTTTCCTTTTTTTTTAAGCTTGCTGCTCATTTTATTTCTTCATCAAACTCCACCCTCTCCTTAAAACCTACATACAAACCTCGATTTATAACCTATTTACCGGTTCTTCTCATTTTAGAAGTATCCGCAGCCTGCATCTGGCAGCGGGCTCCCCACCATTTCCAACTGCTCTGCTATCTCTTTTTTTCCTCCTCCTTTCCAAGAGTTGCTGTGGTTTTCCTTGAGTTCAGACTCATTCTCGTGTAGGGAGATTTCCTGCCCTCCTTTCCCCTCGAAACGTATTTTCTCAGTTTATAGTTAAAGTTTACCCTGTGACTGTCGTTAAAGATGTCCTAGAGTTACATCAGCGAAATAGTCAATTTTGCGGAGCGGGGATTACTACTGCCTTAATAGGTTTTAAAATTATATATTATATGCCACAAGAAAAGGAATGAAGCTGCAACAGATCTGAAAGAGCTCATAAATATGATGGCTCCATTGGCAGCTTCAGAGGCTGTTGTTAGGCGTCTAGGAGAGTGAGGGGAAGAAAAAAAAAAGGAAGGAGGAAAAACAAAAGTGAGACTTGTGCTCGCAGTTAAACGAAAAATAACTGCTAAGTTTACAAGCAGATTGAAGAGGGAGAGGAGGGCTGGAGGGCAGCAGCAGAGAGGTCCGGCCCGGAAGGCGAAGAGGGCTCGTTGGGGAAGAAAAGAGAAAGTTGAGAAAAATGTGGCACGCCGGAAAGATGAGTGATCTGCGTGTGCGGGTGTGTGCCAGCGAGCGTGTGCGGGTGTGCGTGCGCGTGTCTGTGTGTGCAGGGAACAAACCTGAGTAGCCGTAGCTTCCCCTGAAATTACCTTTGTTTACATGGCATGGGACTGCAACCGCTGGCACTGATGAAGTAAAACACACGCACACACCAAAAAAAAAAAAAAAACAAACAAAAAACCCAAAACAAACAAACAAACAAACAAAAACAACAAAAAAACCCCCACCACAACTTCGGTCAGCTTTCGGGACTCGAGGCATGCTCATGCTCTGTGTGGAGATGGTTAATGAATCCAGTGTTTTTGCAGTTGCAAGCTTGTGCATTCACTGTGCAACGCTGACTGCAGGCTTTTGCAGTGGCAACAGCTCACCAAAGATATTAATTACACCGTCCCCTTTTTTTTCCACGAATGTTTGGCTATTGTAAGTTTGGACCTTTTGTTTTATTTCCCCATTTCCCGTGATAATATTTAACCTTTCTCTTCCTTTTAGCAGGGAGAACTTTGCTGGGGGGGGGGAGGGGGGTCCTCTATGGAAAGCTGTTTCTATGTAATAAAGTTAGCGGTGGGAAGCTGGAGGGCTGCAACCTGTTCCAGCTTGAAGGGTAACGACGCAGTATTTTTGAAGAATACGGACACCTTGGTTTTATGAATTATTTTATTTAATATTTTATTTTACAAAGCGACACATCAGTTCACTTGTAAATATCAGTGCTACCAGGGCAATCGGCTGGGATCCACAACAGAGCTTGGCTATAATTTTTACACTTGGCTGTGATTTTTGACTCCACTTTCTTACCACCCGGAGGATTTGATTTTATTTCTTTTACGTGCGGGGCTGCCTTTTGTTGCGAAAGGGGGGGTGGGGGGGCGGGGGTTTGTGTGAGGATTTGTCTTGTTTGCCTTGGCTTTTTTTTTTTCTTTCTTTTTAATCTCTGTTTATTTTGTGAAGCCTGTCTGCATTGTGGGCGGGGGGGGGGGGGAGGGAAGAAAGGGGGGGGCGCTTGACTGCCGCTGGGCTGGGGCTGCCTGAGCAGGGGTCGGGGCTGGGGCCGGGGCCGGGGCCGGGGCCGAGGCCGGGGCCGATGCCGGGCGGGGGGCGCAATGCAGGTCGGCGGCAGCTGCCCGGCTCCGCATGCCTCTGTCTGTCCGTGCCTGTGCGTGTGCCGGGGGCGAGGCGGTGGCGGGGAGGGGAAGAAGCCGGCATTGTCTCCGGCTGGCTGACTGCGCCGCCGGGGCAATGCCTGCGAGCCTCCTGGATGCACATTTCCTCTCCTTCTCTCCTTCTTTTTGTCAGCGGTTCAGCGAGGAAGGATGCCACCCACCCAACCCAACCCCGGCCAGTACGCCCTGACCAACGGCGACCCCCTGAATGGGCACTGCTATCTCTCGGGATATATCTCCCTCCTGCTGCGGGCCGAGCCCTACCCCACCTCCCGCTACGGCAGCCAGTGCATGCAGCCCAACAACATCATGGGCATCGAGAACATCTGCGAGCTGGCCGCCCGTCTGCTCTTCAGCGCCGTCGAGTGGGCCCGCAACATCCCCTTCTTCCCCGACCTGCAGATCACCGACCAGGTGGCCTTGCTGCGGCTCACCTGGAGCGAGCTCTTCGTCCTCAACGCTGCCCAGTGCTCCATGCCCCTCCATGTGGCCCCGCTCCTGGCCGCCGCCGGCCTCCACGCCTCCCCCATGTCGGCCGACCGCGTTGTCGCCTTCATGGACCACATCCGCATCTTCCAGGAACAGGTGGAGAAGCTGAAGGCGCTGCACGTCGATTCGGCTGAGTACAGCTGCCTGAAAGCCATCGTCCTTTTCACCTCAGGTGAGGGGATGGGTGGGGGATGTGAGACATCCAAAAAAAAAAAAAAAAAGGAAAAAAGGAACAAACCACCTGTGGAAAAACAAGGAAAAAATGAAAATAGAATTATTTTTAAAGAAAAGAGGCGGCAGGCTGAGGTAGCATAGCACTTGACAGGGGTACACTCCAGTCCGAGGATCGATCTCCCCCTCATACCCACAGATACTGGCTTTTTTAACGCACAGCCCCTCCAAAAAAAAAAAAAAAAAAAAAAAAAACAACCAAACCTAAATAACCCAAATCAAATTAAGTGTAGGCGGTGAAAACATGCATGTTAACAATTTTTCCCTGTGATAGATGGTTCGAATTAACTAGCGGGAAAGTTGCATTAGTGTCGCCTTTGAAGTGCTCTGGTCGTAACCTATAAAAATATAATATGTATACTATTATTGTAACCTGCGAGGGAGAATTTATAAACATCAAAGGAGAACTATGCGGAGGAAATATAGGAAATGGAAACAAGGTGAAATAAGAGGCTGGACAGTGTAATTTTTTTATTATTATTCTAATTATCACCATGATATGGCTAATTGCCACTTTTTCTGCTTGTTTTCTTTTTTCTTTTGTTTTCCTTTTTCTTTTATATACTCACTCTCCCCATCTCCTCTCTTGTTCTCATTTCTCCCCTCTTTTCCAAACCAGCTTTCTCAATTAGCAATAACTAAACAGTTCCAATAAATGTGACTTAAAACTAGGCCAGGGCAAAATTGAAAGTATTCCTGAACAGAGATGGCAAATTGTTCAAAGGTCTTGTTTAACACTGAGCAGTTTATAATCCATCAATATTTGTTGCCTTTCATGCATGAAAGATAGTATTTACATTGTATTAAAATGACTCCTAAATTTGCACAATATTGTAATGTAGCAAATGTAGTATTAATATCGATTTGAACATCAGATAATTTATTTAGACAGGAGTATCTAATTTGTATGCAGGGAGGTCGGAGACGTGTACTGTGACTGCCCCCTTTTACTTCCAGTGCAAATGCAGTCTCTCAGTGTTGGAGGGAATATTTCTTTGCAAAGGATAACTTGCAAATCTTAGAACAAATGGAAGATTTACTGAATAGCCAGATCGACATTTTAATGTATTTTATCATAATAAGTCTTCTCGATGGAAACATGTTTTTGAAGAGTGACAAAGAGACCTGCCAGCATTTATCAGGCTGATTTAACTCCACAGCCTGCCTGTAGACTCACAGACCTTCCCTTCCCATTCATTTCAGGGTGCTCATCAATACACAGGGACAGTCGAGGAGAACCTTTCCTTTTTTTTTTTTTTTTTTTTTTTTCAGATCCAACTTGAGAAATTCTTCCCAAGCAGAGCTGGGAAGATGACTGGCTTGTGTTTCAGCCTTTCTACCAGCCAAAGGCCCTTAGAAAGAGGCTGCCCCTGATGGGGACATATTTGAGGGGATATTTTACTTTCTCCTATCTTTCTTTTCTCTCTCTCTGCTCTCTCCAATCTCCCCCCTTAACCTGCCCAAACGAGCAATGTTGGCTAGAAACAGGGTAAATGGTTTTAGAGGACCCTTTCATTTACATATATTAAAGAAATGTAATGACTCTTGTGAGGGAAGAATCCCCTTTCCACAATGGAACTGAGAGTGAATGAGGCTCAGGAAGAGAACAATAATATTATTTTGGAGCAGGATCACACGAGGCATTTCAGAAAATGGAAATACAGCTGTCAGGAGTAATCTACCGCTTACCCCCATCCGCACATTTCAACTTCTCACCAAACTTGTTTTGATTGCTTATCCAGAAGGGAATTCATGGGAAGCCTTTCTCAAAGTCATCCAGCTTTTAAACTAACTTTGACTGATGGAAAAGACATTTTTAGGCACAGTGTCCAAATTCCTTTGCTGAGGACTAAGTGTTTAAAGCTGGCATGGGTTTCTCCTGTTGTGATTTTTACATTCGGGCTCCAGAGAGCATGTATTTAATCTGTAAAATTCTGGACACCATCCAAAAACTAGGTCATAACCCAAAACCTGCTCCTTTCTCACCTACTTTCCCCTTCCTTCCACTCTCCTCCTCCTCCTCCACCCCTCTATCCCTCACCCCCATCCCTCCACATCCCCACTGCCAAACTTTAGTGTTATTAATTCCTGTATCTACCTTTTCCTCATCATAAATAAACGTTTCCAGGAAGAGATAGAGACAGATAACATAAATTCAATAAATCTATTTGCAGCGCAATAAGAGCTTTGATTTCTAGTTAGGTGGCAGCTGATTACATCTATATTTTCTGAACACTAAGCTCTTCTGAACGTGTAACATGAAATACATACCCACCACTACGAAGGGGAAGGCTGGAATGTGTTGAACAGTAATGGTTATTTATTTACATAATTTCTTTTCCATAGACTGCAAGAAGAAATATAGAGCTTTCCCTTATTGACACACTGCCACATAAAAAACCGAGGCACACACAGGATTTTCACATTAGCCCACTTTCTGGGATGCAATAATAATTCACCTCCAGTAAACATGGATTGTGTTGTTTCTCCCATGGATTGCACCTCTCTGGGCTGCATAATCAAATCGAGCTGTGGATCCCTTAATGATTATTATTTTTAATCTTGTTCTGAGGGGAGAGTTAAGCCTTCTCACCGCCACCTTTAAGGATATAGAATGAAACCCAAGGCATATGCCAGTCCATTTAAAATAATTAAAGCTCAATAGATATTATTGGCATAAGAAAATTCTGAGTGTTTGGAGGTCTAAGGCAAAACCCAAGGCATATTTTTCAAACATGCACACACCAGGCTGCTGCCCTTTTAGAGAGCAAGTTCCCCATCCATATTGTCCAGTGACCTGCAGTTATAGGTGCACTTATCGTAAATGTCTGATAAATATTTTACTAACCTTAAGGGTATGACATATGGGGCATAAAGAAAAAAGCCCTGCCAGGGTGCCGGTAAGACCCTTTCATATTGCATTGTTTGGAAGTTGAATAGGATCCTAATGCATAATGGGCAGATAATGCATGTAAAATAGCAAGATATATGTAAATATGGAATGTGATTTGTGGCAATCAACATATGAACAGCCCTGTGTTTTTGATATGTATTGCAAACAAGAACAGGCCCCAGCTTTTGATAGATATATATGTTGCAACCTGGTGCTTTAGATGTTGCAAAATATCATTGCTTTAAAGGTACAGTATGGATTAGTGGAGCAGCCTGGCTCAGATAATTGTGCATCTGAGGGATGCCAAGTCCGCAGCTCAGGTCAAAGGTTCTCCTCCTCAGAAGTTCCTGAATTATGGCTTGTTTTACTTGTATTTTTGCTCGAGGCCATAGTATTGTAGATGAAGGTATTCAGAAATCTTTGTAAAGTCAGTTCTTGATAGGGAAAGACTTAAACTCCAAAAATGCCTTTGTGACAGATTTTTTTTTTTTAGCTTTGAATAATTTATTAATTTGTTGTGTCTTTCCAGGGTCATAAGTCTACATTCACATTTTTGTAATGTCCTTTTGGGGGCCATTAACATGCACTAATTCATACATGGATCTATATATTAGCCAAGGCTGGCTTTGATCTGTTTTAAACAGCACTGCTAGCTGACTGCCTTGCTCTGATCTTGATGGTTCGGGGTTTTTTTTCTTTTTCATTTTTTTAAAAAGTATTTAATATTAATCTTGTAAACAATGTGGATAGTTTCCACCATCTGGGCACACCCACCACTTTTCCTTGACTGTGGTTTCCTGAGCAAGTCCCTTAACAAGCAGCCGGTGAACAATTTTCCCTTGGTTTGGGTTATGTGTTCACAGAGATAGGGTATATGCTTGTATGTGTCTCTGTGTGTGTGCAAACGCACAGATGTATCTATACCTCCCTGCTTGTATCTGTGTACACACAGAATAATGTGTATAGATACAAATGCATGGATGTGAAGGGTTTCTGCTCTTGGGTTAGTACACCTTTGCCTGGGTCGTATAGTTCTGCAAGGTGCAAGGTGTATGTTCCTGTAGGGAGAGAGTCTCACTGGCTACTTTTAGGCAAGGCTTATCCACCGCAGCTCTCCCAAGCTTTGTGTCTGAGAGCTGCAGATACCTGCTGAGTGCAAGCTAGGACTAACCCAGCCACCAGATTTATCACACAACCCACAAACACTTGGCCAATTTGTGATCGCTGGCAGCATGGCAGGGACAGAGAAGTCCCCCTTGCACCCCAGCATCCCCTGGCCGGCTCCCTGCCAGTCGCTGCAGGTCCCAGCCGCTGCCTCCCTGTGATATGCAGCCATGTCAACAAAATCCCTCTGTCTCTCTTTGCTTGTGCCCACCTCTGCCTATAATCATATTATTATTAATATTATTATTATTTTCCCCAATACCCCTATTTTTCCTCCACTCAGTGTTATTTAACAGGGGCTGGTCCAGGTTTTCAGCATCCTGGTGGTGGGCTCCCTGGAGTGGGAATCACGCTCACCAGCACAGAGTGTCCATAGAGGGGGATATGGAAAGGAAGCATGGGGGGCTGTGTGTGTGTGGCTGAGACGAGCGGGGTGTGAGCATCCCACCGCGTCATGGATCAAAATACCCATGGTAGTGAAGAGGCACAGAGAGGTCACGTTATTTATTCAGCAGCGGTGCACGGGATGGGTTGGGGTGGGATGAGAGGGGGTGGGCTAGTGTGGGGTGAGACGGGATGGGGGAATGCGCCTTTGCCGTGCCCTCCATCCTAGCGGCGTTTCCCTGTGTGCTTCCCAGTCACTAACCGTCTTCCCCCCGCTTCCTCCTCCTCCTCCACCTCCTCCCTCCACTTCCCCCCCGCCTGCCGCCGTTCTGCGGCTGCCTCCGCGGGCGCGGTGCGGTGGGCAGACGCCTGTGGCCTGTCGGATGCTGCGCATATCGAGAGCCTTCAGGAGAAGTCACAGTGCGCGCTAGAGGAGTACGTGCGGAGCCAGTACCCCAACCAGCCCAGCCGCTTCGGGAAGCTGCTGCTGCGGCTGCCCTCCCTGCGCACCGTCTCCTCCTCCGTCATCGAGCAGCTCTTCTTCGTCCGCTTGGTAGGTAAAACCCCCATCGAAACCCTCATCAGGGATATGCTACTGTCTGGGAGCAGCTTCAACTGGCCTTACATGTCCATCCAGTGCTCCTAGAGCCCGTCCCGCATCCCCGGCAGAGAGGCGGCGGAGCGGCGGAGACGGGAGCGCTCGCACCGAGGGGCAGTCGGGGTGCGGGTGGGCCCGGGAGGTGGACACTGAACAAAAGAAAGGGCCAAGTGGGAGCAGAGATGTGGCCGTGTAGGGGAGAAGAACGGACCTCTCGTCCGTAGAGGTTGTGGTGTTTCCCTTTTTCTTATTTTTTTTTTCATTTGGCCTATTTTTTTTTTGAGAGGAGGAAAAAAGAAATAAATAATATTAATAAAGGAGACAAAAAAAAAAATTAAAAAAAAATGAGTATTGAGGGGATATTAATCAAACCTGAAGGGGATACTGGATCTTCCAGGATTTATTGTGGACTGTTGCTGATATATGCTGTACAGTAAACCAACAAAACAAAAAAGCATTGAAACTGAACTGAACCTTGTGTAGAATGAAAAAAAAACCCAAAAGAAGTAAACAAAGAAAAAAATTCTACGCGCAAACACTTACCACGAACATTGTTACTCATTTTGTAATATATTAGTCTTTATTTTCATTTTTGGTAAAAGTTAAAACATCATACATGCATAAAGAAAAAAAAGAAAGGAGAATTAGGGGAAAATAACATTTTCCAAATAATTATAAAAAAAATTGTCCTGTGTCTATGTATCTATATCTGTTTTGTATTTTTTTCTGGTTCCAAACCAGGTTTCCTGTGATTCTATACTAATAATTTTTTGATATAACCCTTTGCTTCTTATAATGAGTGCGATATATGTTGTCAAAACTGTTCTTCAAGAATTAAAATTGAAGTAAGAATTTAAACAAAAAATAAAAGAATTTAGCAACCCCCCCCTACTTATCACCCCACAAACCATGAGTCTTGTTGTTGGAAACATGCTAACAATTCATCCTCCCAAAAAACAAAAAAACCCCACAAACCAAACAATAACAACAAAAAATCTCACCTGGATTTTTAACTCTGTACTGGTGCTAAAAAAGAGAACTTAAAAAATACTTGTGAGATCTAGCCAAGTTGTGTAAACTACATGATGCTCCAAAACGGACTTGACTGGGCTTAAGCTTAGGGCTGAGCTGCCAAGGCCTAGGAAGAGGAAGCGGGAGGTGCAGTGTGATGCCTTAGGTGACCTTGCCTCGCTGGAACTACACCGCAGACTCCCTACCAAGGCTGATGGCCTACCCTTTTTTTGAAATATTTTTCCCATCAGCTGGATTTTCTGTTGAGTTCACACCTCGTTTTTTGCTCTCAGAAACCATGGGCATGGACTGCAGTCACCATATGCCACCACCTCTACCCGTGCAGCAGGAGGCATACTGTAGCCATGGGGCTTGTTTGTTCCAGACATGGTGGCTTTCTGCTTCTGGGAGCTTGGGGTGGGGTTGGGGTTTTTTGCTTCTTTTCTCTTCTTTTCCACCCCAAGGACTCAGACCCCTCTGTGTGCTCCAGTGTGCACATCTTGTGCTTGCTGTCAGCCAAAATATCCCTCTTGCTATTTCCCCTAACTCTAGTCACTATGTGTGGACGATATTCCCAGTCCATTAATATAGAAATCCAACTGGATGCTTGCTCATTGGATGGTGAGCCAGTGCATTTCATATGTGTTTATGTGCCACAGTCAAGCAAAGAACACAGGCTGTGACCCCCCACACCACGGCCACCTATCACAGGGGCCCGAGCTCTGTGCCGAAAGCCCCTCTTTATTTCAGCTTGTCCTTTTCTTCGAAGAAAATTAAAAATCATTTATTTAATGGAAATCCTTTGAACGTAAAGGCTTCTAGCTGGTGGTGCAGATCTCTGTAACAGCTTTCAGTGCATTAATGTTTTATAGGGTCTGAGACAGAGCTGTGAGAACACATACTACCAAGGGACCTCTTTCTTAACGTATTAATAAAGCTGGATCTTTTAAAATAACATTGTTCCCCCTCACACAGATACCTTCCGTACCCTCCAAACAAGCCTGGATGAGGCAGATTTTTCAGTTTGTGGAGACATGGGCAAGTTTTTAATTTTCATTTTCTGTCCTACATACTCTCCTTCTCTCTCTTTCTCTCTCTTCCTCTCTCTCTCCCCCCCCTCCTTTTTTTGCTTTTTCTTTCTCTCACTCTCTCTTTTTTTTTTTTTTTTGCATTAACAAGATCCTTCAATCCAACTCGCTGGGGGTTTTTAATATTCTAGGCGCAGCAGATCCGAGGCTATAGCAGGTCCATACAGTAGGCACTTATAGCTGGATAATCAACATTGTGAGCAGATCCTCTATGGGGGGATCATCCCATTCGGGATGGAGAAGTGGCCTGTATTCATAGATGCTGGCAGTGGGGGGACTCCAGACCTGAGCACATAAGAACGGGAATTAGGCAAACAGACATCCTCCCTTTTCCCACTCACATGGACGTGGCATGGGCAAGAGCTTTGTTTCTGGCCCTTCCACGGGCGGAGGAGATCCAGCAGCCCCTCCGAGCTCTCAACGGGGAGTGAGCAGGCATGCTCAGACCTGGGAGGTGCTGAAAGTAGCTCTTCGACATTGCTTTTTGATGAGATGGGTGACTTGGGACACAGTTGGATTAGCAGTTAAAAAGACAAACAAAAATTAAAAAAAACCCACCCAGAACAAAAAAATCCAAACCCAAAAATAATAACAAAAATAAAACCAAGCAAGAACAGAACACCCCCCCCAAATAAGCAAAACGCATGGGGATATCAGAATAGAAAAACAGGTCTCGGTTTATTCCAATGAGATGTAAATATATTCATTACAGCGTCATCCCACTGATGAAAACAGATAAACTTTTTCATAGGTATTTTTCAATTAATTTTCATATTTATGAATAATAATAACAACCCACAGATTGCCAAGAAACTTGCAGGTGTAGAGGAGGTGTACGAGATGCACTTATTTCCATGTATGTGCCTAGAAAGAAGTGTTTCAATCCCTTATTAAACTTTGCTTATAAGACAGTATCGTGTTCTGAAGTGTTAACTACACAGTCTGCATTGTGTCAGTGGATGTTTTCCTTTGCCACGCTGCAGCCTTTCGGGCATTCATACGGCGGCTAAAAATACTTTATGATGGCGTCATGGAGTGCTATTTGCTGAAAAAAAAATGTGAGTGTGGAGAGGGGCCGGGGTCCCTCAGCAAGTTTTTGCTGACTTGTTCATAACCTACAATACATTGCTCTAAAACGAACTCCATCTACATTTCTCCTGCCTTGTTGTTGCCGGGGGCCTAGGCGCTGTTCCCGGGGGCTCCTCGGCCCCCCAGGATCTTCAGGAGACGCGGTCGGTAGGGCATCCCCCTCATCCCTGCATCCTTCCATCCTCCCTGCCGCGCAGAGCTCCGCGGCCTTTCCGTGCTCACCAACAGCTGCGGCAGCACTTCAAAGGCTGGGGGAGGGTGGGAGGAGGAAGCAGGGGGTGGGTGGGATGTGGGAGAGGGGCGACACTCCCACTCCACTCCCGTGCAGGGGACCCGCTGAGGGCACGGCAGATACAAAGCCCCCCCTCCCACTCCTCTTAGCACCTCGCTAACTAGCTTGCCTCCTCCCACCGCCCAATTAGGCCTTTTCTATACATTTAATCGAATAAATATTTGGAAATGCTGCTAAGTGGTAGGTTGAACCCAAGCTGAGGAGGAGAGGGTTTGCGGGCGGTGCCGGGGCAGCGCCAGGGCGGGGGTCGTGTGTGTATGTGTGCGTCTGTGCCCGCGCCTGCACCTCCTCCGGCCGCCCGTAAACGTCAGGGGCTGCTGCTTCCCCTTTCCCAGCGCTTCTCGACACGCCCTCGCCCCCGGGGGAACTTTTTGGGTGGCTCACCTTCCATTCACCCCCCTCACCTGCAGGAGAGAGGGCGATGAGCCCCCTTCAGGACTGGGGGTAAAGGATAACCCCCGCTTTCCCAGTATCCCTTGAAATTAGGTAAAACTGGGGAGGAAGAGTGGGGATGAGATTCCATCACGAGCGACCTGTCTCATGGCCACCAGCAAAACCTGCGGATCCAGACGTAAAAGGCTGTTTCCCTGCCGGGGTACATGGAGGGTCTCGCACAGAAGAATCTGGCTAGGGGTCACTACAAGTGGCAGCAGAAGTAATACAAGGAAAAGTTAATTCTGCGTAGATTCACTAGCGGGAACCTGGTTGGTTACATACACGAAAGATAAAAGTCTTTTATCTGACGGAAAGGCCTTGATAGGACCTTACATTTGGCGGTGTGTGTGTTTGGGGGTTTTGGGGTTGTTTTGTTGGGGGGGGAGATTTTTTTCTTTGTTTGTTTGGGGTTTTTTTGTTGTTTGTTAGGGTTTCGGGGGGGTTAGGGGTTTTGTTTGGTTGGTTGGTTTGGGTTTTTTTGTCTGTGTGATTTTTTGTTATTGTTAGTTTAGGGTTTGAGCTTGGAGGTTTTTTTGTTTTGGTTTTGTTTTTTTTTTTCTCATTACTTGGGCGGTATGGCAGCCAGGCATCCCCTTCCTATCTGAGCGCAGATATGACCCGCCGCCGAGGGATGCTTAGGCAGGGTTGCAGGGATGGTGGCACCAGCCGGCCTGGATGACCTTCCAACGGACGGACAGACGGATGGAGGACTGAACGGGGGTGTCAAGGATTGCTGCAGCCGCCCCCTCCAGTCGTATCCCGGCGCGCAGCCATTCACAGGCAATGCCCGCGAACGCGTGTACACGGCTATTACAAACACTGTCGACATGCTTCCTCCGGTTTCATGGGGCATTTTGACTACTCAAAGCGCTAGTTTATAAGTCTGGAAATAGCGAGTTGTGTTTTTTCTTTCCTTTTCCTCTTTTTTTTTTTTTTTTTTTTTTTTTTTTTTTACTCAGATCTCTGTCTTTTCTGCTCTCTGCTTTACTGAGAGAGGCAGGAATAGGTCCCCTCTCCCTTCCCTGCTTTTCTCTTTTCTTCCCATTTCTTTTACATCTTTGGAACTAATTTCAGAAGCGATGTGACCTCCATGAAATGTGTTTATATACTTGTTTTAAAAGATTCCCTTTCTACTTGGCTTCACAGCCATTGACTTCGACGTGAGAATTTTTTATTTTTTTAGACATTCTTCCCTTTTTAATCCCCAGTGGGTCAGAGAGACTGGGCATGAGTGTTCTGCAGTGATTCCGGAGTCCAGTAAGAATGACACATTTCAAAAGCCACTACTCTCGGGTGCCATGGACAGACCCGATGTGGTCGGGTACCTTGCAAACCTGCCGGGTTTCCAAGCGCCGGTAACGGGAGGGAGGGGGAGAGGAAATTCTCTTACAAGGCGATTTTGAGGAGAAAAAAATTAAAAAAGAAAGAAAGAAAGAAAAAGGAAAAAGAGAGAGCGAGAAGAAGGGAAGGGAGAAGAGAAAGAGGAGATCCGAGAGCAAAAGTGTAAACTAATAAAACTCTTGTTAAAGTACTTGCTCGGGATCCATGGCGTCACAAGCTCTCTTACTTAGGAAGCCAAGGAGTTTTATTCCTAAATGAGTTAAAGAGCCATTTACCTCTGTCGTGTTCTATTCATCAAGCCACAAGTCGAGAGTCCCTAACATGAAACTATTTGTTTGCTTACACAACCAGCTGGGTGCAATTTCACGACTGAGATATCTATCTGAAAGCGCCTCTCATTTATTATCCTTACTTGTCAGCGAATCCATTTTCCAACTTTTTTTCCACCTCCACGCCCATTCCTCCTTCATTCATTGAAGGCTTTCGCCTTAAATGCTCCCTTAAGCATTTCAGCACCAGCCCTTTCTCCCCTCTGAGCACCTTCAGCTCAAAATAGCAGCGGAACAAGCCTGAAACTGCAAAGACGGAAAAGGCGACCACTTCCCAAGGTGACTCACGGCTCCTGCTCCTTTCTCCCTCCCCCTTCCTTTCTCCCAAGGCGTCTCTGACAGTGGTTTGGGGCCACCCC